TCAAAATTGAAATAGCGACTTTCTCAATTTTCTATTCTCCTTTAGAAAGGGACTTTTCAATACGGGGTCAAATTTGGGGACGATTGCCCACATCACCTCAGCCTCTACCTGTTCTGCTGCCTATAGATACATAAATAATGACCACACGATCTAATATTCCTCATTAGCAGTCGGTTATTTATATATAATTAGTTGTGGAGAAACGTATTCTTTGAATGACGTTTTAGTTAAATTTTATGATAGAATTAGATTATAATTGCTAAAAAGTATACTGTACCTCAAACTCGCATATAAACTGAACACAGTGCTTTGAACTGCAGTCATTAACTATGATGGTGGTTAGGGAATTCGACTTGCAATTTGCGGGTCGCTAGCTCGAGTCTTGTCCCTGAACACGATATGACGGGGAATTCCACTATTCATTGGTACAAGAGAAGTTCAAGAATTGGCAGTAGGTGTTGTTGACTAGCTGCCTTCCCTGTATTCTATCACTCCAAAATTAGGGACGGCTAGCGCTGAATGCACTCGAGTAGCTTTGCACGAAACCGAAAAACGACATTGTTTGTTTGTAGATAAACACAAAGCTACACAACGGGCTATCTGTGCTCTGCCTACCACGGGTATCGAAACCCGGTTTCTAGCGTTGTAAGTCCGCAGACATACCGCTGTGCCTCTAGGAGCCAAAAAACAACATAAAAAAGAAAAACAATAACAAACATTAACACGAACTGGAGCTTTAACTAATATACCAATTTTATTTTTGTAAACTTAATAATGAATTAATGAAGTGAGGAGATAGACCTACGTAAAAAAAACAAAAACGAAACTTCGAAATAAATACAAAGGTCTGGACACGTTTATAGTAGCACTTGGTATTTACTTCAAACTGTAAACAGAACGTGTATACTTTGACTATAACTGTAGAATATCTAAGGAAGACACAAACTCAGACCGTATGTAGAGAGAGATAAGTTGGTGATGACGAGATGTTCTCAGATCTGAAAGAGACAAACATTTGGAATATTTCTTAAGTATTTGACAAATCGAAAGCTTTGACGTGTATTCAAGGCCAACAATTAGCCATATGAAGTAGAATAAATGGATCTCAGGCTCGTGCTGATTATTTTATAACCAACAAAAAAAATGTGTTTTTTTCTTTTATCTTCCTTCTCCAGTCGGTAATGATTGATATCATGGCTGTTCCGCAACTGACTAAGAAAGCTACGCGACAAATATTTGTCCTCATTGAATGATCTATCTTGGTAAACAGTTGCTTAGTAAATAAATAACGGACAAATCACCTGGGTTTAAAAAAAAATGCCTGAGAATCTTTCTGTATTGACACATTATCAAAATGCCTCATATTTTTGGCTTCACTCTTACAATGTTCCTTATCGATCTTAGCTATACGACGATTCCTCCCATTACTTCTACCATCTGATGTTTGTTTTATATTTGTAAATGAACATAAACGAGACAAACTTGGTCATTAACCCAGTGATGGAAATGGGGGTATACGTCGTGTACCTAGTTCTCAGTTTGATTTTTTCCCTATCGTCACGGGTCAAAGGCCATGTCATCGCGTTTGTTGACTTACATTCACAATTTTATTGAACTACTATTTCATGGGGCCCGGCATGGGCAGGTGGTTAAGGCGCTCGACTCGCAATCTGCGGGTCGCGAGTTCGAATCCCCGTCACACCGAACATGCTCGCCCTTTCAGCCGTGCGGGCGTTATAACGTGGCGGAGGGTGGTGATGACTAGCTGCCTTCCCTCTAGTCTTACACTGCTAAATTAGGGACGGCTAGCGCAGATAGCCCTCGTGTAGCTTTGCGCGAAGTTCATAACAAACAAAGAAACTATTTTATGAATTTATGTCGTTAAGTTTAGTATTATACATTAGTTAATTTATTAATTTAAAAGTAAATATTAGAAGAACACACCTAAATATCCATTTTTATATGTCACGTGGTATGTTGGATGCAGCATTGGTTCATATTAGATGTTTGTGATGTCCAAATACAAAGTCTATAATTTCTTACGAATTAGGAACTCAAATTACCGATGCTGACAAACTAGAATATAAAATAAGAACCTCCTATATTTTCTTTTTGCCTTTTTACGCCTATCACCCCACTGCTCCTTCTAAGCGTGTACCTAGTTCCTAATCCCCATTTCCTTTCCTGCATTAACCTAATAGTTGGTTTGGGTTTAAAATAGTTTTGGCAGTACTAGGCTATTAGCATTGAATAGTCGGTCATTTCAAAATATTCTTTTTTCCTGTTGGTTCAGCGGTAATCTTGAAGAACAATAACGTTATAATTCAGGGCTCGAGCTGTGTTCCACTGGTTTGCGTGCTGAACTGTGTATCTGCGGATCCAATGTTCGTGACCCGTTCCCGATTAAAAAATCTCGCTCCGCGCTTTAAGGCAGTAGATGTGTTATAAGGGTGACAGTCAAATCCGGTCACACAAAAGTAGCTCAAGAATTGGCGGTGGGTGTTATTGACTATCTGCCTTCTTTCTATACTAAAATTTAAAAATTAGGGACAGCTCGTGTAGATAAACCTAGAGTAGATTTCCTCATATATCCGAAGAACTGAGAAACAGGTTGCCAATTACGTAGCTTTTCACTTTAAAAACAAACACAGACAGTGTAGGTGGTCCATTGTGTAGTTTTGCGCATTAAAAACATACAAAATAGTTTCATAAGAGTGGACAAGTGCAATAAAATATTCATACCCTGACTTGTGTAACTTCAAATGCCGAGAAGTATCTGCTGTAGAGAACAAGATTTATTCAAATTTTATTTTTCCATTTTGTGCGCGTGTTGTATTGATGTTGATTCCCGTAACACGTCGTAGGCTTGTTTACAATCGCAAAGCTCCTCCTTCCTACAAGTAACTGATGACGCAACTTCGTTGCATGCTGTTCGGTATGCGACGGTCTTAGCTGGTAGTTGGTAACAAGAGTGAGAGGTAAAGACGGAGGCGATGGAAAGGAAGTTTACGAGATTGCAGTGAGCAGGGGAAGTGACATAGTTAATTTGAGTTAATGGGAATACTGATAGAGATGATTAATGGAAAGGTGGTGACAGATCTAATAATATTAACATAATCAAGTCTGACTTCACCGGTTTTTTTCTCCTTCTTCTTTTTGGGGTGTTGATACTCAAGGCCAATACTTTTTTTTTAAGGACAACTATAGCTCAGTACATTCGTGCGTCGACCTCCTGGCGTGCACTTGTCGCAGTTTGTATACTGTTAACGATGTTGGGAGCTATCTACATACTCTATAAAGATGCGACTGTGAGCAGTTGCGAGGTCTTAAATGCAACATTAAGCAACAATTTTCATATTAATGTAGCAATGTCACGCGGAGGGAAGACGTCTTAGCCATTGGCGTTTTCTTTCGTAGTCATTCAGCCAGCAGGCCAAAGGTCGGGGAGTTGAACTCCTGTGCTGATGAAACTTTAGTTCTCCAGAATTGAGTGAAAATCAGCAAGAAAAAAGTGCAGCAATGGCAAGCGTGACTCTAGAGTCATTTTTTCTACAACTTGTCAACAAAGTGGAAAATATTCGCGATAATTTAAACAGGAAGAAAACGATGAAAGAAGAGATTCGAACCCTGGAATTTTGGCGATCTATAATAGCTGAATGTTTGGCTACGTTTTTTTACGTGTTTTTGCTCTGCGGAGCCCACATATCATGGCCAAACGTTGAACATACCAACATTCTGGTCAAGGCATTCACCAATGGTCTGACTATCGCCACACTGGTCCAGTGCTTCGGTCACATATCAGGCGCTCACATTAACCCAGCAGTGACATTTGCGATGTTCTTAACCCAGAAGATCACCCCACTTCGGGCTATACTTTATGTAACCTCTCAGTGTGGTGGGGCTATAGCTGGGGCAGCACTTCTGTATGGGTAAGTTAGAATCACTTTTGTGTTTAAATGTAAGAACAACAATAAAATAAAATAAACTTTGTTTGTTTGTAATTAAGCACAATGTTACACAATAGGCTATCTGTGCTTTTCTCACCACGGGTATGAAAACCCGGTTTTTAGCGTTGTAAGTCCGCAGACATGCCACTGTGCCACTGGGGGCAACAAAAAAAGTATATAAAAAAACCACCGAGGACCATTTATATTTTTGATTTTATATGGTTTCCAACCTTAAAGGGTTTAGTCTGTTTGAAATAAAATGCTTAACGAGTTTTTATTAAGAAGAGAAAAATATTAAAGACAGTGATCTATCGCTAGAGGTCACGTGCGATGCATGAACCTTGAACTAAGCTAGAGAGTTCAACTGACCATATACTGTGAGAAGTTGAAGGTTCAGTGATCATACAGTGTGAGAGGTGAAAACGCATTTCTAACGAGAAAGTTTAGTGGTGTAGAATAAACATTTTAATGGCTATTTGATTAATTTTAATTATTGTTACAGATATATATATATTAGAAAATTATACAAATATGCTTAACAGGAGATTGCAATTAAAAACTTAAAGCATTCTAGTCTGCTCAATTACTGTCGTCTAACAGTCATTCAAGCATTTATAATACCCTTTTTAAACATTAACTAATACGATGGTCTATTCCTATCAGCAATTAGTGTGTTTGGAACCAGGAACCTCACAAATAAACCTTCGAGAGACTGATATTAGCGAAAGAAGACACAAGAAAAATGCAGGGTTTTTATTCCAGAAAAATAACAAAGCTAGCTTAAGGAACCACGAATACAAAAATAATAAATGCATCATTTAAGCCAGTTAATTTCCTTGCTAAATATGTTAATTTTTGTTTTGATGATACTGGAATGTCACAGTTGGGTGCCCCCCCCAGTGGCACAGCGGCATTTCTGTGGACTTACAACGTTAGAAACTGGGTTTCGATACCCGTGATGGACAGAGCACAGATAGCCCACTGTGTAGCTTTGTGCATAATTACAAACAAACAGACAGTAGGGCGGTTTAACGTAATTCGTTTTGATTTATTTAAGATCAGAAATAATAAATATTCAGCCCAAAATAATATAACTTTTTCTATGCTTTCTCAATCAATGTCAAATTTCTTATTGCTACAAGTAATACCTTAGTATATTCTTTATTTTTCATTGTGGTTTTAAGTTTCATTACGACACCCGTGTTTGCTTCGCAATTTAAATGTTTCGTAAATTTCGTTGGTGTCGAAAAGCTGAACACATTTTAACGTCTGTTATATAATTTTAACTGCAATGCAACAATTATAGACTTTGTAATAAATTACAACACGTGAAATACGTTTCAAGTCAAAACTGTGAATTTTACAGATTTATAAACACCGTAAGCTCATCAGGCCCGGCATGGCCAGGTGGTTACGGTACTCGACTCGTAATCTGAGGGTCGCGGGTTCGAATCCCCGTCCCACCAAACATGCTCGCCCTTTCAGCCGTGGGGGCGTTATAATGTGACGGTCAATCCCACTATTCGTTGGTAAAAGAGTAGCCCAAGAGATGGCGGTGGGTGGTGATGACTAGCCTCTAGTCTTACACTGCTAAATTAGGGACGGCTAGCGCAGATAGCCCTCGTGCAGCTTTGCGCGAAATTCAAAACAAACAAACAAATAAACTCATCAGAAGTTGGCGAAGTGGATTCCGTAATTTTTAAAGCTACAGATAACAAGATTATATTACACACTTTCTGGATAAACGTTTTTCAATGATACGATAACACTGGATCAGAGTCTATCGCTCCTAACATTATATTTATAAGTTGTTTTCGTTAAACACAAAGCTACACAATGGGCTATCTATATTCTGCCCAACACAGTTATCGAAACCCGATTTTTACTGTCGTAAGCTTACTGACTTGCCGCTGAGCCACTGGGGGCGCCCTATATTTATGTGACAACTCTGAAATTACAGATTAATTTGCTGTTACTCTTTATTTTTCTAAAAGATTTTTGTTTTTGTTTTAATTAGTTTTCATCTTGTTATGTTCAGTGATAAAACTAACAAACTGTACATGCTAGCCATTACAAACATTACTGAAGACCAGTAATTTGTGACAGAACAAAGAAACTTTACAATGTGTGGGGTTGGGCTGTTTTGAGTTTTTGCGCAGAGCTATACAACGGCTACCTGCGTTAACAGTCCCTAATTTAGCAGTGATAGACTAGAGGGAAGGCAGGTAGTCAACACCACCCACTGCCAACTCTTCGGCTACTCTTTTACCAACGAACAGTGGGATTGACTGTAACATTTTAATGCCCCACGACTGAAAGGGCGAGCATGTTCGGTAGGACGGGGATTCGAACCGCAAATTGCGAGTCGAGGGAACAACAACCTTAAATTATCCTGTAAAACATAGAGAATTAACTGCAGCTTTTCTTCACTAGCATAACGTTTGCTGTTTTATCTTGATTAGTACAGAACTGCTCCTGCCTCCTGAACGTGCAGAACAGTGTATTAAAACTGCAGCTACACGTGAAAACTTGTATTGATTAGTATATGCTTTGATGAAAATCTCGTGCAGCTTCTATAACTATGACCTATCAAAATGTTTGTGTATTATAAGAATAAGAATAAACACGTTTTGTGCGCTTTGTGCCAAGAACACAATCTTAGCGGTAGCTTATGTCACAGAATAGACGAGTACATGTTTATTTTACACTGCGCGTTTAGGTCAAATTTGTTTTATTTGTCTTCTAGTATCATTAAGTCTTTAGAGGGTAATTCTAGTCGACTCTTGGTGTTGTACGAGTAAACAAACACATCTGAAAGTATAAAGAAGTTGTTAAAATCGCTGTGAGAAAATAAATTATGTGGGCAACGTTTCGACGAAACGTCTCTCTCATTGGAACCTATAGAGAAAATATTATTTTTATTATTTTAGTCTGTTTGTTTTTTATAAGCGCAATGCTACACAATGGGCTACTGCGTTGTGTCCATCGCGGATATCAAACCTCGATTTTTAGCGATATATACCCGCCAGCTTATAACTGAACCACAAGGGGACTGTTACATGTCCGAGACGGTTTCGGAAAATACATCATTAGATAAGATGTATTGTTAATGTGCTTATTTTATCTACGTGATGGCGCTACAGTTACATTGGATTTTCAATTCGCGCCGTCTGCATTTTAATCACATTTTTCATGTTCCAAAATAGTTATCAAGCTTTTCCACATTTACTCATCTGGTATGTCAAGACATACAGTAATGTGTTGTGCGGCCAAAACAACCTGCAGGGACACACTGTGTGTTATTAACACGAGTGATAGTTTAGTAATTCTCCATCTTCTGTATCTCAGACTGTGCTAATCTAAACTATCACATATTTTCAGTGGATGTACTCTCCTGGACCCTTACTTCATATACCAAATTTCCAGGCAATTCATTACGAAATACACGAGATATAAAATATCGAATTTTGATTGAATTTCTTCTTATTTTTTTCTTCGCAACAAAAGTACGGAAACTTTATTTGATAGAAAAACATAGTTAACTTTCATGGATTTTTTTCAAATATGGTACACTGATAGTTCTTTACAACCTACAATTAGGCGTCAAATTTGGTCTAATTATAAGCCATATGTGCAAAGTTATTTAACGAAAACCGCTCAATTTTGATGAAACTTTTGACGCAAGCCTACGCAAAAAGTCCCATGAGCTACCGGTCTGAAATTTTTACTACAGCTTCACCTAAGAGTAAAGGATGACCATTTTTTAGTTTTTTTTTGTCATTCGGATTAAAGACGGCTGATTTAGAGCAATAAAACTATAGGGTAAAAGCACGTGCAGATACATAAGTATTGGTTAGGCCAAGCAAACTATATCAGTAGTTTCTAGCTCAAGTTTTCAAAATAATCATATGGGTGGACGGTTATTAATTATTATTCATTGCTAACTTTTAAATACAAATTTGCTGAATTTTATGAAATTCTCCTAATTAAAGAGCGTTTAGCGTCACGTGATATTAGCTCAAGCAATTAGCGTAAATACTGATGTTTGATTCGTCAGTACCGAGTACCTGCTGGTGATGGCACGAAACTGTTAGTATAGCGTTACTATAAAGGAAGCTATTAACACTGTTTCAGAGAGGAAAAACTACCACCATATATTTTAAAGAATCTGGTCGGTTCTATAAAGTATATGTCTGTTCCGAATAATAGGATTGCCATCCTACAGATAATGATGGTTACTATTGGGTGTCACTTTCTTACTTGCTGTGGTTTGTTGGTGTGTATTGACAAAAAATCATATCTAATCAAAAACACCTTAGGTATGAAAAAAAAAAGGTGCGGCAAAAAAATGGATTGAACGTGCGACTTAAAGGAATGAAGTCAAAATTGGCGGACAAGCTGATAACTACTGTTATAGGATTGATAAGAATTTTATAACAAATATTCATTTATTAGTTAGATAGGCCGCGTTTTTTTTTCAACATAAAGTGTAACTACCAGTTTGGCCACCAATTTTGACTTCATTCTTTTAAGTCGCATAATATTTATTGCAACGTCGGTTACAAAAATAAGAAGAAAACAACAACAAAAACACACACAGTTGGGTTGCTGGCTCGTCAGTATAATGTTTTATCAATCTGCTTAGCTGTTAAAAAATCGATCTTAAATGAGAGTTTATCTTCTCCTGAAGATTTGAGAGAACACAGCCAACATTCGGCTGTCTTGGTTAAATGTTGTGTGAGAAGAAAGCGAAGTTACGTTGTCAAATAACATCTTGCAACAGACGTATTTTAATAGATACACGTGGCAGATTTCAAGGCATATAAACACGAATAATAAATTCGAAACTTTAATTTCACGTATTAAAATAAGAAAATGCATCACTGAAGAGACGAAAGAAGTAGATGGTGTCTGAGAACATCTCTATCGACCTCTGTGTGTGTACAATTACAATACTTCTTCAAAGAATGCTAGTATCTTTT